GCCATTGGGCGATCGGCGGTCGACCGTGGAAAATTCGCGGTCGACCACGAGCAACAAAAAACAAAACTACCATGGCGGTCGATCGTGGCGGTCGACCGCGAGAGCATCCGGTCGACCGTCACGATTGACCGTGAGCCTCTGAAAAACTTTCTGAGTCTCTGGACTGAGGGGCGGTCGACCGTGGTGGTCGACCGCAAACTGACATATGAAATATTCAGGTTAAAAGCAGTTTTTTGATTTTGAAACCCTGTTTAAAAATATCAAATAAATTCTAAAAAATATAAAACTTTGAAAAATGATTATAGACATGATAATAAACATGCTACAAAAACTGGTTTTTAGAAAGGATCTCCCAAATAAAAAATATCATCATTTTACAAAATAGTCCAAAACATGAAAATGTAAACATATGAGTTTTGACATTTTAGCTTAACCATGTTTTGAAATAATACAAAATAATTTTATAGACTTAGTAAAATATGTATATGATTATTGTTAAGCCCAAAAACCAATAAAACAATATTTTCATAAAATTACATATTCTATGCAATATAAATTCAAACATAATAGAGTATGAAACATATGAGGATGTATATGAATATATATTTGTTTCATATCTATGAAATTAAACCAAAACACAATAATAAATATAAAATATGTAATTTCATATTTATATAAACTTGGAAACCAAAACATGCATGTATACATATATAACTATATATATACATAAAAACCAATAAATGTGTGTGTATAGATGATTGAGCTTAAAGTACTAACACACATAATATAAAACCTAAACTAAGTTATCCAAGCAATCTTGATCTTCGATATAGCTCAACTTGGTACACTATACAGATGAAGCTTCAACTTGGATCTTCAACTTGAATTGCATTGCTTCATTCCACAATTCCGCCAGCCTCCATTGGATATGATCGTAAATACGTAATTCCATCCATCCTCTAACTTATTGTTTGTCTATAATAAATAAGAAAACATAAATACTAGACAAACAATATTAGTAGTAAATTGTTTGTTAAACATTATCAAAACAAGAAGGCCAACAGGGATTATGCCATATCACTACTAACACTGAATTCCATCCATCCTCTAACTTATTGTTTGTCTATAATAAATAAGAAAACATAAATACTAGACAAACAATATTAGTAGTAAATTGTTTGTTAAACATTATCAAAACAAGAAGGCCAACAGGGATTATGCCAT